TATATATATATATATATAGATCGGTTTTCTTTTCTCAGATGAAAGTAACATATATTTTCTCATCTCGTAAGGTTAATAACTTAAATTGAAAATAAAACAGATAGACGAACCTTTCTTATTACAACCTTAACATCAAATAAAAGTTTCAACAACATTGTAATCCACAATTGATTCGTAGACCTTGATGCTATTGACAAAAAAAAAAGGTATCTAAACACAATATTTCATATTAAAATGTGGCTTACAGATCCATATTTCAGAGAATGTAGATACCATAGTTTTAAAATTCTGCATTAAAAAAAACAGAACAGAAATCACAAACACATACAATAAAAGGAGCCTCAAACACACAAAAGTATTTCTACATTTTACAATGCAATTTATTAATGGTAGAAGATTGCTTACATTATATTTTTTTCAATATGCTTCATCATTATCTCTCCTTTGTGATTGTTTATTCTCCATGGTATATCCATTGCACGTAATCTTTCATAATCCCTTTTATAAACAAGTCGTCAAACACTACTTCTTGTGTTTGAAAATTTATATTCAAACAGTCTTGGCATGGACATCGAATTTTAGTGTTCGGATCAAAATGAGACCGAAAAAGTTTCATAAAATATTGAACGCCCTCAACATATCTCTTAGAAAATGTTGGTTCATGCATCCATTCTTTATACATGATAAACTGCACAAACATGTAACCATCAAATAATTAAATATTAAAGATGAGAAATTAGTTCATAAATCAAAATGATTAGAAACAATTAGCCTCAAATAAAATAGCTCAACTTACCCCAGACCTGCGGCGATAACTTTAATTCTAAAAGGGCTGTGTGGATTGTGGAATGCTGCTTCACTTTAAAAAGGATAGGCATTATTTAAGTTTTGGGCTCTCTTAAAAATTTGTGATAATACATAAACATGACCTTTAACTTACTTCATTTGACATTTATGTCCTCCAATTTGAAGTGTGCACAAGTACACTTAAAATTTGTATAGAATTAAACAAGAAGACACATGTCCTACTTGACGTCTTATGTGGCACCTCCCGTGTACTATGTCACATATGACGAGTATGTCAACTTGTTCAAATTTATACAAGTTTAAGTGTCTACTTATATACACCCAAAGTTAAAGGGCATAGATGTTAGCTGAGGCCAAGTTAAATGACATATTTATGTATTATGCCTAAAAATTATAAGAACAATCTACTTGACGGAAATTGGCCAAAATTAGCCTCAATATTGCAAAAAAAATGGCCACGGCCAGTCATGACGAGTTTGATGGTTTATCATAAAGTTCATGACCCTAACACAATTTTGAACACGTTTTATGCAGTACAAAGTGTTTCAAAATGGAGATGACTGATTGACGAATTTATTTTCATCCCAAAAATCTTTTGTAACAAAATTTGAATTTTTAAACAACAACTTAATTCATGGGATTTAAGGACTTTGCCAAAATCTACGAGGATATTTGGCGGGAAGAAGATTCTCATTAGGGTGACACGAGAAT